TGTTCCTTTCACTTGTCCTCTAATGCTGATAAAAGCTGAGTTTTGAGACGCCTCAAAACTCAACTTTTAACAAGGAGAACGTTCCTTTCCCTTATTCTCTAATGAATTTCCTCTCCAGAAGAGGATGACTCAAGGCAGGTACAATGCTCCATGTTGTAACCCCCCTTCCTTTCCCTCTCTGCACCCGCCTCTCCTCCTTCCACCAGAACGCAAGCATGCGTCTCTTTCGGAGCGGCGCAGTACCACCGGGCAACGGCAGGGTTCGAGGCTCTGTTCAAATGTCTGTTGCATCTCTCCTCTCCCTTGTCGCCTCAGTGCTACCTATATTCCCCCCATCCCCCCCCCACCCCTATACAGAACGCAAGCATGCGTCTCTTTAGAGGGGAGCAGTACCACCGGGCAATGGCAGGGTTCAAGGCTCTGTTTCTAATGTCCGTTGCATCTCTCCTCTCCCTTGTCGCCTCAGTGCTACCTATATTCCCCCCATCCTTCGCCACCCCCCTTCCATCAGAACGCCAGCATGCGGCTCTTTGGAGGGGCGCAGTACCACCGGGCAATGGCGGAGTTCCGGTTCGTGGGTGGGTGCAGTGCGGTGCCCTGCGATATCAAGGGAGGAGATAGTGAATGCGTGCGGTGTGGAGGACGTGCACGATGGCACCAACTACTTCAGGTGGGTATTGCAATTCCCTTGCTTTCTATGCGCTCCTCTCTTGCTCTCTCTGTGCTCTCTTCTCTTGGCCTCTGATTCTCTTGCGCTCTGCTTGGAGCTGTTCTTGTGTCTCTGGCACTCAAGAATGTGTGCGATGCGGAGGACGTGCACGACGGCACCAACTACTTCAGGTGGGTATTTCAATGCGCTTGCACACCTTGTATTCTCTCTTTCTGGGATTTGGGTTCTCTTGCGCTTTGCATGGAGCTCCGCTCGTGTTTCGGGGCACGAGAGAGTGCGTAGTGTAGAGGGCGTGCACGACGGCACCGACTACTTCAGGTGCTTCTTTGCACTTCTTGCGCTTCAGGTGCTTCTTGCACTTCTTTCGCTTCAGGTGCTTCTTGCACTTCTTGCGCTTCAGGTGCTTCTCGGGCTTCTCTTGCGCTATCTTCCTATCTGGTTTGTAAATATTGTGCGCTTCAATTGGTGTCCGTTGGGGTTGCCGCCCCTGCGCCTACCGCCCTTACGACTGCATCCCTTTGACTGCCTCATGACGCAATAATTTATTTTTCCTTTTGCCTACTCCCTGCTGGCATTTTTCTCTCCTCTCTCTCTCCTTTCTCGTGCCTGGCAGGACGGCATGTGTGATTGCTGTTGCCAAGGCTTGGGACGTATTCGAGCCATTCCTTCGACAGGTATGGCTTGGGGGTCAGTATGATCTGCCGGGTTACGTGTTGTGGGATGCGTTTTTATCTCAACAAAAAAAAACTCTGCACAGAGCAACTTCGGTTTCCCACCTTTCTCTCATCTGCTCCAACATGCTCCCTGTCCTTTTTGAGGGGCCTAATTTTGTATTCCCTCCTACCTTCCCTCCCCGCTTCCCTCCTCCCTTCCCTCTCATGTCAGCTCGGGTTCCGTTTATCACACATTGTGGGACGACTGCTGCCCATCGTGCTCTTCCTACTCAAGGTGAGCCACTTTGCTGGTCGAGGTGAGATGCTCATGCAGCGATTTTTTTAAGGCACCTCAAAATCGTCTCAATAGCCACGGGGCTTGTTGAGGTGAGATGGCTGATAGAGTGAGAGTGCAGGAGGAGTCACACGACAAGATTGCACTCATTCACAAGTCACCTGCCGCTCATTCCCTCGGTTAGAGGGACAACGAGTCGAGGCTGCTTTTGAGTCAACTCAAAAACGCCGCTCATTCCCTCGGTTAGAGGGACAACGAGTCGAGGCTGGTGCTCGAGACATTCAATATTATCTTTCCCCTCCTGTCTCCCTTCCCCTCCGCCCTCTCCCTTCTTCCCCACCACTGCTCAGAGGGACAACGAGCCGATGCTGGTGCACGAGACGTTCATAGAGCGAGTGCGGGAGTCGTACCACAAGCTGACTCACGTCCACAAACCACCTCTATGTGCCTGTCACTTTCCCTTCTCCCCCTCCTCAGAGGGACAACGAGCCCATGCTGGTGCATGAAACGTTCATAGAGCGAGTGCAGGGAGTCGTACCACAAGTTTGTGGACGCTACTGAGCGCTCCTGCATCGACAGGTGAGGGACAGGACGGGCGTTTGGGCAGGTTGGGTAGGTCGGGCAGGTTGGTAGGTCGGGCAGGTTGGGTAGGTTGGGCAGTGAGAGAGGGTGCCACACGTTCGTACCACAAGTTTGTGGACGCCACTGAACGCTCCTGCATTGACAAGTGAGCTGAGAGGGGAATGGGGGGATTCAGGAAGGGTTAGGGAGCTGACAGTGGGTAGTGGGTGCAGGAGTCGTGCCACAAGTTCGTGGACACTACTCAACCCTCCTGCATTGACAAGTGAGGCAAAGGGGGGGGGTGTGGGTCGGGCAGGTTGGGAGGCTGAGAGTGAGCAGTAAGGGAGAGTGCAGGAGTCGTGCCACAAGTTTGTGGACACGACAGAGCGCTCCTGCATTGACAAGTGAGAGGCAGAGAGAGAAGGTGCCACAAGTTAGGCGAGGCTGGGCAGGTTGGGGTGTTAAGCAGTTGAGCAGTGAGAGAGGGTGCCACACGTTGGGGAGGTTGGGCAGGTTGGGGGGCTGACAGTGAGCGGTGGGGGAGGGTGCGGGGGTCGTAGCATAAGTCGTGCGGTTCGTGCACACGCCTCCACTGAATGGTCCTGCATTGACAAGTGAGCGCCCCACACGTTTCAGACTAAGCCTCCTCTGCTTGCGAATCCCTGTCGTTCTGCCGTTCGTCTCTCTCCACCTGCCCTCTGCTGCGTGCCCTCAGGTGCATGGAGGATCTCACCAGCACCACTCGCTTTAACATGTGCTCACTCCACAACACCATGTTCAACACACAAGTTTCAGTTCAGAGTCAGACTACACCTGTCTTTTCTGGCCTCTGCCTCTCCACCCGCCTTCTGCTGCGTGCCCTCAGGTGCATGGAGGATCTCACCAGCACTACTCGCTACAACACGCGGCCACTCCAGTACACACGTGTTCAACACACGTGTTTCAGGCTGAACCTCCTCTGCTTGCAAATCCGTGCTTTTTTTGCTACCCGCCCTCAGGTGCATGGAGGATCTCACCAGCACCACCCGCTTCGTCACATGGTCTCTGCATAACAGGGTAGGCCATCTCCTCCTGTTCCCTCTCACAACCCTCCTCTCTCCTTAGTTTCGCACCACAAATGTAATGAATATTTCTTCAGCCACGCACAGCAGTGTCCCTCTCTTCCTCACTGCCCTTTTTTTCTGGCCCCTCTCCGTCCTTTCCATTCTTCCGGCCCTTGCAGTCTCGCTCCGCCCTGCGTTCCTTCTTTGACTCGGCCATGCCCAACCACGACTCCTCCCTCCTTCCTGCTCCCTCCTAACGCTCACTCCTTGCTCATACTTCCTCACTTGTTCCCCTTCTTCCAAACCCTCCCCCCCCCCATTTTGCAGTCTCGCTCTGCCCTGCGTTCCTTCTTCGACTGAGCCATGCCCAACCACGACTCCTCCCTCCTCGCTGCTCCCTTTTTTTAACCCCACCACCACCCCCCCCTCGCCCTCTCTCCCCCCATGCAGTCTCGCTCTGCCCTGCGTTCATTCTTCGACTCAGCCATGCCCAACCAGGACTCCTCCCTCCTCGCTGCTGTCGGCGCCTTCGAAGCATCCACGCCAATGCCAGTCCCAGTTGCCACAAGCAGACAAAACTCGCCGCCCTTTGGCCCGACCGACTACCAGTCAAGCCCAAGCGATGACGGCCGGGGGGACAGAGGGGCAGTGGGCGGACCCGGCCGATCCAGTGCTACTGGTACCACCGCTAGTGCTACTGCTGGTGGCGGTGCTGGCAGTGGTGCTACTGCCGGTGCTGCTGCTGCTGGTTCAGCAGCAGGTGGCAGTGGCACAGGAGGGAGGCTAGCGGATCTCCTCGAATCCACCCTCTGGACACGCCGCCTCGCCCCTTCCTCCGAAGACATAGTAAACGCTCTAGTCATGCAGATATTCGAGGGGATCCGGGACCACTTTGTGATGTCTGCTGAGCTCAAGTTCAACTGCTTCTTTCTGATGCCTCTCATGGACCGGTTTCCGGCGAGGTTGAGGGAGGACCTGGAGGCGGTGGCGGGGGGTGGATTGGACGCGGTGTTTTGATATCTCGAGAGTGCGCGGGCAGCTGGAGAGGAGCCGCGGGGAGCTGGATGAAGAGCTTAGGCGGGTGAGTGTTAGGGGGGCAAGAAATTGGGAGTCCGGTTGTTGGGGGTGGATTGGACGGGTTGTTTGATATCTCGAGAGTGCGTGGGTAGCTGGAGAGGAGCCGTGGGCGCTCGATGAAGAGCTGAGGCGGGTGAGTGAGGGAGTGGGGGGAGCGGAGTGTGGGTGGGTAGGGAATGTTTGCCTGGATACTGGTGTGGATGTGGATTCTTGTTGTTTCTTAGGTCAGGACCAGTTGGGGCAGAATGAGAACTGAGGAACTGAGACAGTTTATTCTTGGGTATGTGAAAACGGGCCAAGGAGGTACGTGGATGAGAGAGGGTATGGACGTCATGTGTTCTTGTCCTGGTCTCGGCACCATTGTGCAAAGCGTGAATTGCCACTTCTCAACCTCCTTTCTTGTCCGCTTGTATCTTTGCTCTTACTTGCCCTTCGTTCCAGGTGCATGCACTTCAGGCAAAGTTTGCCAGTATCCACCACAGCCTGAGCGTTATGCCATCCCATGCCATGTCAGCACCAACGGGGTCTCTTTTCAGCTCCCAATCTGGAACATCCTCGTTTCCCTCCTTCGGATCGTCAGACGCAGCTCATCCGCCCTCGGCATTTTGCCGACTCGCTCTCATCGATGCTGGACGCGCAGAGTTTGGGGACTCCAGGCGCAAGAAAAGGATTAGATGGCGGTCGTGAATATATTATCAGAAAAGCATGAAGTTAGTGCCTGCGTGTGTACCTACTCTCGTGCTAGATACATGTGCAGAGCCCTGCTTCATTCCGCCTTTTTGTGTGCAATGTTGTCACATTGGTGCCTGTTTCTTTGTTGGTTGTGATGCGAGTGTTTTTAATGAATGTGATCCGTTATACCTTGCCACGAAGGACTGTTTAGCAAGCTTTATTGACTAAATTCAGGAACCTCGACCTGCATGGAGAGGAAGAAGACGGACATTCTATGAACCACGGATATATGTTCGGCTCGTTACGGTTCATAACGGTTCAGCATTAAACCGTGTTGAAGCGTAAGGAACCCAACTGAACCGCATGAGCGAATGAGTAACAAACTCACACCATCAAGCAGCAGGACTAGAAATTCGACAACAGGCAGCAGCGTCTGCTGCAGTGTCTAGAAAATGATCAGTTGCAACGCCTCTTATTTTCTTGGTAATCGCAATTTCAGAGCTATTTTTGAACCGACTTAGGTGTCACATCGCAACGAGAGTCGGCCATTTTTGGGAGAATTCTCGAAGAACGTTCACCACAGGATGGGAGCCGAGCAGTCGACGGAAGGAACTGACCGGCTAAAAAGGTCGGTCAAGGTCTGCCGTGACTGCAAGTTTTTTTCCGATTTTGCGATATTCCCGGCTGCAGATGCAAGAGGACATAATCAACTGTAGCCAGATTCTGTTTGTAGCCAGGTCTATGAACAAGAGCAGTAGGAATGGTTTCAGCTGTGAAGACCTACATAAAATAAATGTTCTTTACCTTTTATTCGGTCATTCATAACCGAATTTATTGGGATTTCCCTGCTCTTGTGCCTCCTGGCTGCTGTACTCGCTTCGGGAGTTGGACGAGCTGCAAAAACCGTTACTCCTGAACCATGCATTGAACTTGCCATTTGCTTGCTTCTCGCTCCTGCCTGCACCCATTCCTGCCAGGCAGGCTGTACTCGCCTCGGGAGTGGGAGGAGCTGGAGATGACCTCATCCCTGACTGATTCATTAGGATTGCCGTGTGCTTGCTTGTCCCTCCTCCCTGCACCCCCTGTTGCCAGGTAGGCTGTACTCGCCTCGGGAGAGCTGCAAAAATTTGTATCTCTGAATCAGTCATTGGAATTTTCGTGTTCTTGTCCCTCCTGCCTGCACCCCCTCCTGCCAGGCAGGCTGTACTCGCCTCGGGAGTGGGACGAGTTGCAGCGCCTGTTTGTGTCACTCGCGGCACAGTCACGCAGCAACGGGCAACATGTCATAGCGAGTGTGTTCCAGGTACTGCTTCATGGGTACCTAGCTGCACTGCTCTGCACCGCACTCCACTCCAACTCCCTGCTCGCCTCTGCTCGGCTGTCTGGTTTCACTTATGAGCCATGTGCTCCATCTGTGTGCCATATCCCGTATTACTTTCTCCCATCTGTGTGCCATATCCCGTATTACTTTCTCGCATCTGTATGTTCCCCATCCCATCTGTGTGTCCACTCTGTCCGCCAGGCATATTATGGCATTCACGGCAGTCTGGGGGCTCGCCTCTTTGAGATCGCCACTCATGTGTGTCCCATCTGTCTCTCCATCTTGGTTTGCTTCTGTCCCATATGTGTGCCTACCGTCCCATCTGTCCGCCAGGCATACTATGGCATTCACGGCAGTCTGGGGGCTCGCCTCTTTGAGATCGCAACTCAGGGGAACAAGGATGGGCTGATGTGCTTCCAGTTGTTCGCAGCTGTCAAGGTTTGGTCCCGTCTTTTACGCCGTGAAAGGTTTTGTTGTGTTGTTTCATTTTTGCAGATTACGAAGGGTTTCGACTTTAAATATGCGAGATCAGGCTGTGTTTGACGAGGGTTCACCAGGTGATTTTGACATTTAATGCCATCTGTGCCCACCAATCCCTGGTCAGATTTTGTTTCCCTTCCATCAGACCATGTTCAACAAGGGTTCACCTGCTGACATCGACATTTACTGCCATTCAACTCTCAACATTATATTCTGTACCCTCCAATTCCTCTTGAATATTTTCCCATCAATCAGGCCGTGTTCGACAAGGGTTCACCAGATGAAATTGACCGTATGTGCTTTCAAGTCATGGACGTTCTCAAGTCAGGAAAGATCGACAGGTAAACATTCAAAATGTTTCCGGAGTCGGGAATATATGAGAAACTTTTGAGAATTCTCAAAGTTGACCGAAAGTGCATTCAAGTCATGGACATTCTCAAGTCAGGAAAGGTTGACAGGCAAACATTCAGAATGTTTTCTGAGCGGAGTTGTTATTTGTTAGAAAAATCATAAGTGACATGTAAATTGTGAAAATCGTTTAAAAAACAAAATGCATCTAAATGATGTGTCCGTTTGCTCCCATCACCTTTCTCCACTGCAGGAGGGAGGTAGAGGAGGTCATCCGCAGTGCTCTCACCACTGTCTTCGGTCCCCAGCACACTCTCCCGCCTGCCCTCATCCAAGCCTTCGTCTCCTCTGCCTTCCCATCCAGTCCCACCTCTAGTACCCGGGCTTCTCTCAGTCACTCCTCCCGTGATTCCTCCTCACCCACTTCTACCGCTCTCCACCCATCTTCTGGTCAGTCTTCCACTGCTGCTGCTTCTCTTCATGCTTCTGCAGCTTCAGCAGCACCATTGGATCGAGCAGGAGGAGGGCAGGAGCAGCCAGAGGGGAAAGAAGTAGGGAGGCCAGAGCAAGAAGGGGAGAGTGTAGGTAGGGATGGTAGTGCTGGTGCCAGTTTTGCTGCTGATCCCAGCGTTGATGATGATACCAGAGCTGATGACGATGGTGGCAGTGTTGCTGCTGATGATGGAAGGGAGCTTTCCTACCAGGATGCTGTTCGATGGTGGACCGCGGTCCCTGCTGTCAAGAAGTTTCTCCGAAGTCTCCTTACCCCTCCAGATCTCCGTGAGTCTCTGATTTGTTTTTTTTTTTTTTTTTTTTTTTTTTTTTTTTTTGTCACGGAACACTGTAGTGGACGCATACTTTGGGAGCTTCCAGAAATTGTTTACGGAGACATAGTTCCTTCGTAACTGAATGGTCCTTGTGTAACTGAGTGATCCCCCGTTGTTGTAGAATCTCAAAATGAATGTTCCACTTGTGCTTTTAACGAATGTTCCACTTCCTTCACTGCTTCTGCCCTCTTTGTCCTTTCCAGGTCCGCCGCTACCCACTCTTGTTGCGCCAGCTGTCACCGCCAGCGGCCGCCAGATCATCTCAGAAGCAGGGGTGCAGCGGCGGGATAGTAGGGAGGAAACGTGGCTGCTTCAGAAGGAGCTGACGTGGCACATAGCCGGTGCACTACAGGACAAAGAGTGTCGGGAGTGGTGTTTGCTGTACAGCAGCAAACTGCATGGCCTAAGCTTCAACTCGTTTCTGGGGAAGGTAGGACTGGCCACAGTAGTATAAGAATAGCCTGCATTGTCGTTCTTGTGCTTGGGGAACAGAGGGAAGGAAAGGATAGGGTGGCGGCAGCAGCAGCTGCTGTCATCTCTCATATGGCGCAAAGCAAATAGTGGTACAGCATCAGCAGCAGCACCCAGTTCAGCCTTTGTACAGACGTTTTAAAATCCTGTTCTCCTTGTCTACTTGCCCTTCCCCCCTTTCCTTCCCAGGTGTCATCGGTACCACACCCAACCGTTCTCGTGGTCCGTGACTCAGCTGGAGCCATCTTTGGGGCCTTTGCTTCCAAGCCGTGGGAGCGAGGCAGCGCTTTCTTTGGTGACATGCGCTCCTTCCTCTTCTCCTTCCTCCCCGCCGCTGCTGTTTTCAAAGCAGCCGGCACCAGCACCAACATACAGTGGGTACGTGGTTCTGTCAGACGTTATGTTGCTACGATTTTCGTGTCGACTAAAAAATCCTCCCCGCCGCTGCTATTGACAAAGCAGCCCGCACCAGCACCAACATACAGTGGGTGCGTGGTGTTGTCAGAGGTTGAGTTGTTATGGATGGATGTCTGGCAGTGTGAGTGTTGAAACGTCTCAAAACCAACCGCTGCTGTTTTGGAAGCAGCCGGCACCAGCACCAACATACAGTGGGTGCGTGGTGTTGTCTGAGGTTGAGTTGTTATGGATGGATGTCTGGTAGTGTGAGTGTTGAGACGTCTCAAAACCCACCGCTGCTGTTTTGAAAGCAGCCGGCACCAGCACCAACATACAATGGTTACGTGGTGTTATCGTGAGTACATGGCAAGAGACTCATGTTTTTCTCCTTTCTCTTCCTTCCCGTTGCTGCTGCTTTTCTTACAGTCCCGCTGTTTGGCTGATATACCTACCTCTCCCTCACCTTCCTACCAACCACAGTGTGCATCAGGATTCGCGTCCGAATCCATTCCCAATGGCATTGGTCTGGGCGGCCAACCGGGTCATTTCGGCCTTTTCCTCTCGGCGGATTTCGACTCTGGTCACTCTCGCCCCAGCACCACATTCAACTCCCCTTCACTCTCTTCATCACCAAACTTTAGCATAGATGCAGTGGAGTGCTGGGCTGTTATCAGTGCTTCTCTTTCTGATAGGATTTCTGCTGGTGATGGGGGAATAGGAGCCATTGGATCGTCAGGGTCTAGAGTGGGAAGTGGGAGATCGGACCATGCTGGTAGTGGGAGAGGGACAGTGTTGGATAGGTTTGGCAAGGAGCGTGCGATGTTGGGCATGATGGGGATAGCGACAGCTAGTGAGAACATTGGGAGAGATACAACAGACTGTGAGAGGTGAATGTGTATGGAGTTGGCAGTTGGCAGGCAGTTGTGGGGAGGGGATCATGTTGGAAAGGAATTTGCCCGGTCGAGTGCAATGAGGATTGTGTTGCACATACAGCATTTGAATGATTCTGCAGTTTGCCTTTGCCACTTGTACAAGGTTGAGCTTTCTCCATGCGTACCAGAAATACTGGTCAAGGTGCAGGCGAAACCTTATAATAAAAGAGCAGCTGGTAAAATTTTAGCGTAGCTCACCGTAGTAACAGCAAACGAATGCTCATTGCACTAATGTTAATATTTCATACGCGGTGCACCTTTGGTCACAGTGGTTCAACGGAAGTCGGGAATTGCTCAAGCCCTTTCCACGTGGCTGCTGCAGACGCGATGCGACGAGGATTTGGATGACCATCCTTGTCAACCTTCGGCGAGAATACACGATCCAGCAGTGTCCAGCCGAGTGATAGAATGTCAGGTTGCGTAACCAGCCTTTTTCGCGAACATTCTCCGGATGGACAACTGGTCAGTACCTTCGTTGGATTCCTTCGCGGCATCACCTCTGCGTTGACACATCTGACTCCTGCGATTCTGGCGAAACCTACCTTTCTGTGTTGTAACAGAACAACCGGGCAGTGACCGTGCCCTGCTGGCGTCGCAGACGATGACTGTCGTTTGCTGATAGTAGTTTACAGGGGACTGCGAATATCGACGATTTCGGACGACAATTTCGTTGCCCTTTCGACTACTCCATTTCCCTAAGAAACCCAGAGCTGCATCAATCCCTCCCAACTCACACCAAACCAAAACATTTGTTCTTCCAGTCAAGCTGCTCGACTACATATATCCCAAGACGCCGCACACGTTCAAGCCAGAACAGCATCACCGACCTCGCAGTTGAATTTGATCCATTACGCGGATAAAAAATCTTTAGGTGAACAGCTTCTCTTACAATATTTTAGGTAGGATAACTCTTTCTCTTAGCGAAACTGCCTCGCATAGTTGTAATCGTTTCTTTCTGACAGATTATAAGCGCAGGGCAACCTTTGCGTCATGGCCTTCACACGTCCCCTACAGTTTATATTCCTTTCCTTCATCCTTTCCGCCATTAAATCTCCGTGTGCTCACGGATTCTTTAATCGCCACCGTGTCGTCATTCCGCCGGCCCACCAGCAGCACGCGCGTTTCAGAGACCTCAAGATCGGCCACTCGAAGCTTCCGCTAAGCCCGTTCGAATCTGAGGGGGGAATGCCAGCCCCCGAAATCCATCTTAAAAGCGCGAATGGCGAGGAGGTCTTTCCAGCGGACAGCGCGGTGCTACTAGATGTCAAGAAGCGCATCGAAGCCGAGGCGCGCGCGAAGCGCACCTACGGGAGCTTCCTGCATCGCATGTCCATCCTCGGCGCGGACCCGGAAAAGGAGTATCACCGCTTCTCGAACCGCACGGAAACCATGAAGGAGAATAACTACCAAATAAACTACTACGGCGGAGCCGTGCTCACACAGCCGATTAATCTCTACATAATCTACTACGGCACGTGGTATCAGTCGGAAGTGAACATCGTGGAGAATTTCATCGAGTCCATTTCTTCAACCTCCTACACCTCGGTGAGCTCGCCGTGTGCCTCGGAAAACCAATCCGTACCCTCCCCTCCTTCCCCCTCTGTAACACTCATAGTAACTGTGCCCTCTGTGATGCCGACTTAGCCCCCTGCCACCCCCCCCTGTTGTCACACTTAGCTCCTGTGATTTCCCTCCTCCCCGCCGTGTCACCTTCAGAAATTCGCGACAGTGCGCGGATGGTGGAAGATGATTGCATCGCGCTACTACCAGATATCCAACGGCAAATACTACTACATCACTCCCAAGGTACTGACTCCAAGTTTTGTGGTTTATGCCAACAGGAGGCAGTTTGGTCCCACATGATCTGGTCGGGTCAGTAACGTAGGACGAAGAAGCGATGAATTTTTGCGGACCTTAGTCTCTGCCCCGCTCCTTACCTATACCGGGAGCTACCTGCCTCCCTCCCTGCTACAGTTTCCACTGTCAATGCTCTGCATTGCAATTTCATCTCTCTGCATCCCTCTAAGACCCTTTACGCTGCTCTGTGTTGCTGGAAACTCATGCAGGTCAAATTAACAGGCACAGCCTACGATAAGTACACAAGCTCGAGCATCATTGGAGGTAAGGTAGCATTGGATGCTGTGGTGCCATGTGACTGGTCATATATACCTAGTGGGATCCCACCTAGTAATCATATAATTCTAATGTTGGGTCGCTTGCTGATTGCCAATTGCAGCTATCGAGAGGCAGATAATGACCACCAAGCGCTTTCCCTTGGACGCTAATGGGATCTACATGGTGCTCACCAGCGCGGATGTTACGGTTACCATTGGTGGGGATGGCTTCTGTGACAGATACTGTGGACTCCGAACAGCGTTTACGGGGATCAAGAATGGAGTCAGCAAGCTGTATCAGTACATTCACGTCGGTAACCCTATTCGCCAGTGCGCTGACTCTTCCTGCGTTCTTGGACAGAGCGAGTACTACTAGTAAGTGTGCGATGACTTCTCTGCTGTCCATTCATCTCATGCCCACTTCGTCCATTCCATATCGCTCCTCACTCTTCCTCTCTCATCCGCTGCATGTGCTGCTCAACTGCGCCCCTTGATTCATAATCTTACCAATTACTATTTCTTGTTGCCGCTGTCCTCTTGCTTGCCAGCAAAACGCCAAATGGAAACTGGGGCGTGGACAGCATGATAGCAACAATTGGCCACGAGCTGGCGGAAGCAGCCACTGAGCCTGATTTGGAAAAAGGCTGGCATGACGAGACAGGAATGGAGGTTGGCGACAAGTGCTCAGCTGATCTGGGTGCAAAAGTGTGGGTGGCTAATAAGGATACGAAGAATAGCTATCTGTTCAACACCGTGGGGTTAAATGGGGTTAGATTCTTGCAGGAGGCAATCTGGAACTACTCACCCAAGAGTTGCGTAGAGTGCAGTGAGGACGGGAGGCAGGGCCTCAGATTCGTTTTGGGTGACCCTGAGCACTCAGGGTCCTTTGGGGCTGTAACACTGATCATCAGGGTTGTAAATGGAGAAACACTGATTTCTCAGGGTTAGAAAAAAAAAAACCCTGACACATCAGCGTGAGTTAAAAAAAAACACTGGCGGTGAGAATCCACAACAACTACCGGTATCACAAGTATAATAAGTTAAGAAAAGTTAAAATATGGTTCTAATGAGCTTCTAATCTAACTACAGGCACAGACCACTTGGCGCTCACACCGCACACACAATTCACATCACACACATGTCTTCATCTTCGTCACTACCACCACCATCGCTCATAGAACCGTGCCTGTGCACGGGGGTCTCTGTCCCCCACCCAGAGCCAGCACCACCAGCAGCATCCTCGTCCACCTTCTCTTTCCCCTTAGCACTAGGTTGCTTCTTTGGTGCTGCCACTGTTGTGATGGGCTTGCGCTTCTTGTACGCCCTCCAGATCTTCACCACCTCCGCCCAGTCGGGCTCGTACGGCAGCAATGCCATGCACATGAGGTCCGACAGCCGCGCATCCCAGCCTGAGCTAGCATCTGCTTCTGGTGATTGATGGCCAACTGGTGCTTGTTCGTCGCGGCATGCCGCTTGAAGGCTTGGGTCTGAAGATCGGTTGCACCGTGCCCAGCCCACTCTTGCCACACTTGCCACCGTCACCTGCAAAGTCGATGCACAATCTGCACTTGAACGCAGGCATGCCAGCAGTGTTTTTTATGAGGATGAGCCATGGGTAGTCGGTCGACCACGTCGACTTGAACGTTTCAAGGGCCTCTTCGTAAATCAGAGTGGTTAGTGACGGTTTTTTAGAGTTAAATGGCGTGGGCGTAACGTGATTTACCGACTCGCCGTCATCAGCGAGAGGACGTCCAGGATCTGTAGGATCGGCCCAACGGAGCACGGCCTGCTTGTAACGAGGCGGAGGCTTCGACGACGACGCACGAGATGGCAAGCGGACGCTCGGTCCGGCTGCTGACGGCACGGCCGGCTTAGCAGTATGCGCGGGCTGGGGACGATCGTCTCCGCGGCAGAGGCCAGACGCTTCACCAGTGTTTGCTACTGAGGCGACAGGACCTGGCTTCTCTTTTTCATGGGAGAGCACGGAAACTAGAAAATCTAGTCCCGTTCTGGCCTCCAGCATCTCGGTGGCGGCGTAAAGTGCATCGTCGTCATCATCACCGCAGCTGTTCTCACCGGTGATCGCCATGGCGCGTTCACGTCACCTTCCTGAATCGGTGAGTAGTAACGAGAAACCCTGGGAGAGAGAGAGCCTGCCGAGCAGGCTTCAGAGAGACTGCAGAGATTGATGTTTCGGAAAGGGATGGAGTCTGGAGAGCTGGAATGGCAGAATCACGAGACCCCCTGCGTGGGGTGCCTGAGCGGGCCGCCCCAGCACGCCCTGCCCTGGTGGAAAGAACAAGGCAGACCACTGGCCCACTGGGCCACTAGGCTTGGTTGTTTGTGCACATCAATGGAAAGTAATGACAAGTGTAGGTTATCCAACGTGACAACGGTACATTGCTTCAGCTGGGACAGCCAATCTCTTTACGCCGTTTTGCCAACACAGCCCGAAATTAACCCGTTCAACTGTATCTGGGCGCGCCGCAGGGTGGCGTCGGTGCAGGGTGGGTTCATGCATGATGACGGCGCGCAAAACTGCGAGAATCACGGAGTTTTTGGTTTCAGGGTCGTCTCCGATACAACACTGACTCGTCAGTGTCGACAAACTAGAAACACTGGAAAATCAGGATTAGGAAAAGAAAAACACTGATTCATCAGGGTTGTAAAAACAAAAAGGCTGATTCATCAGGGTTACAATAAAAAACCGGGGTCAAACATCAGGAAATCAGGGTAAAATTCCTGGAATCTGAGGCCCTGACGGGAGGATGACGGTTGGGTGAATGAGCTGTACCTTCAGAGTTTGTGTACATAATGGCGAGAAGTTGTGCTAACCGGGCAATGA